ACACTCTACTTAAAATGGGATGTGTGTTGGGAGGAGGGAAGGGGGAGGCTTGTAGCAAAGCCAGTATGGGGTTCTAAAAGATGAAGAAGTATTTCCAGGATGAATTTTTTGCAATATTTCTAGCTGCGTGAATCTCACAGTCACCTCCTGTGTGTGTGTGATGACCAGCACAGCACTTGCATTCACTCCATTGTAACAAGGCATTTGCATGCTAATATGGAACTGTTCAGATATATGGGGGGGACAAATAGACTATAATTAAACAATTAGCATCTAATTAGACAGTCAGTCCATAAATTAAGCTGTGGACTGGCCTTTGCCAACAGATGCCATTTGGATTGTGGGGAAGGGGGACAAGAATGATTTGATTACTTTAAAAAGAGAAAGGGTAATATTTATCAGTCACTACCTTAATCAGGGGGTAGCAGAGATGTGATAGATGATTGTTGTGATCCAGGGTTGGGAGAATGTGTGGCTTCAGTAATTGAGTGAGCTAAATGCCGCTCTTAGGAAGCATTCACAACAGCAGACTAAGAGTATACGCAGATCAAATATAGCAGCCCAGGTAAAAGCTTGCCATATTGTTTTCTTAATAGACACTGAATAGATTCCCTGCAGGGATAAAGCAACAAGCATTCAAGTGGGTCACCAGTTTTGATCTGAAGATTCGTTAGTCTGCTGTTGTGAACGCAGCCTTAGCCAGCTAGGAAATGAGCTTTTACTACTTGCTAAGTGACACTGAGTTTGTAGTATGAATTAAGTAGCTAAGCCATATTTGAAGTCAAGATGATATTTTTCTAACAGTAAATCATTACAGTGACAAGTTGATATATATAAAGAATTTTTGGTGTTCATGTTGTCAAGTTGACATTTTGTCATATACCCCGTTCACACTACGCTCAGTTATCCGGATTAGTTGCGAATTAGGTCACAATTCGAATAAATGCAGTAGTGTGAACGCAAGAGGATTTTGAAAATGCGCATTTTCAAAATCCTGCAAGCGAGGTGGATTTCTAAGCGCGATCCGGATAACTTACCGGAATCGACACCTGTACAGATCTTACTGCGCATGTGTGCAGATAAGTGCGGGTATCTATGAACGCTGGTTTATTACTTTAGCGATTGCACCAAACGTATTTGGCGGTCACCACTCACTACAACATGAGGAAACAAACTTATTTTGCCACCTTATACTTCTCAAGAATGCTGGAATGTCTTTTGAGTTGCATTTGTCGTCACAAATTTTTGTTGATATTTTAAGATTTCCTGTGCGGCGCATGCGCGAGTGTTCGAAACAGGAAGTTTAACCTGAAATTTTCAACGTGGGATTCGGATTCGCTTAGCGAGTGTGAACGCAATACCGAATCGGATTCCTTACGAAAAATCCGAATTATAGAAATGCGCATTTTGGCAACTGTAGTGTGAACGGGGTAATAGTGAATGTAACTATCTTCATATTGGAATAACACAGTCGCATGTCAAGGTATCATTATCCAGGGGCCAGAATGGCTACTGTTGTCACATGCCACTGTGGTACTTAAACTGATAGATTGTCACATGATGACTTCAAAGCATTTCTGCCTTGATGTCTTTATGTTGTTATGAAACTGTTATGACACTGTTAAAATTCCAACATAAATATTTGTGTGAATCTAGCTATTTACAAAAACAGATATTTAAAATTTTGCACAATATGTGTATAAAATTTTGCTCAATATATATATATATACATATAATTTATATTGTAAACATATATACTTTTATCTTACATCTGTATAGTGCTAGAGGCTTGCATAGTATGGCATTGCTTGGCTGATGGTGACATTGCTATTAGGCAATAGTTTTGTGGCAGTGTGCTTTATTTACTTTCTGTACATAAGTAAGAGCAGACCATTTGACTTTTGCTTGATGAGGTTCAGGTGAGAATATACAAGTTCCTTTCACTGATTAATTACTGGTGCTATGCATTATTACTGGTATATGGCTTCTTGTATATATATTAGTATGTAACGTAAGTATGACCATAGCTCTTACAGACATATTTTTATGGCTGTCAAGCTGATTGCATATTAAGGAGGCACATAATTAATGCAGTAAAATATCTTAATACGAGAAGTAATGAAATCAATCTATCTCAATAGGTGTTTCTTATTTTTATACAATGATGGATTTTATGAAACATCCATATTTTTGTGCCCCTTAATAATGTAACCAGTTTAATCCTTCATGTAAAAATATGCCTTAAAGACATATTGCATGTCATATCCAATGGACAAGGAAAAAACCACATAATTCCAGCAATATGTTTATAATGGTAAGTTAATCATTGCATGACTTTCTGAGCTCTAACCACAGATCTGCCTATGTGATGTTGACTCAAATAATTCCTGAATTGTGAGGCGTAATTCAAAGCATTTAGGTTACACATACATCTGATGTTGTTAAGTAAACAGAGTTGTCTATGAGCAGTAAAGAGCTATTGCTATTGCTCATGGGCTACAACTAGTTGTTTAGGAAAGGATGATTATAATTTAATAAAGAAAAAGCTGAAACAATATTCCATAGGCAGGTCTATGTTTTTGTAACTTTAACAGTTTTTTCTTGGTATCTGCTACTATGGTTTTTGCTTCTGCTTTGCTTTAGCAGTATTTCAATTAATAACAATAATTCCAATTAATAACAGTAATGTTATTCTTTGGAATACTTAATTTTAATAAGTCAAGCTGTTTTGATGAAAAGCACCTTTGCTATGCGTTTTGGTATCAGAAAATATATACCTGCTGACGCCAAACATACCAGTCAACCTAAATGGTATGTTTGTTACTGATAAGAAGTAAAATAATTTCAAATAGCCAGTCGTGGATATACACACCCATCATTATATGCACGCCATAAAGCACAGCACTGTGCCACCCAATGGATTTGGACATGGAGCTGCTATGAGATCATACTAACACGTAGCATATTAACACCAAAAGTTAAAACTGACTTGCTTTGGTGACAGGAAATGAGAAGTATTTTAATTTTTTTTGTTTAGCATTGATCTGCCTCAAAAGTTTTGATTTTATTTGGAATTTTTAGTAATAAGATCATGCAAAAATTCTGTCTGTCTGAACTGTAGAGCTTAGAAGGCATTTACTAGGACTTGACAAGATTGAGAAGCAGTCTCTGAATTGCTTGGGTTTTTATTATTATCATGATCATTATTTTAAGATGCACTGGCAGCAAGGGTCAAAACAGAATACGAGCAATTTTTGGACTGCTGAATCATATATGTCTGTATTTTTGTTGTAGTTACTAACCTGCTGTCTGACTGTTGATGTTGTGCATGTATGTGTTTAATCTCTAGGCAAACCAAAAGGAATAGACAATCCTGCCTATCTAATGGACAGTGGCAAAATGGACCCAGGTAAGTATTCTGTACTGAACTTGGTTGCATGTCGTCTTAACTGTATGCATGCCATTCTCTTATTAGTATTCTAATCTAGGTGCAATTTAGGGATTAATACCCATGGTTTCTTAAGAATATTTTATTATAGTCAAAAATCATTGTTTGTGCTGCAAATTTGCTGGTCAGTAAGTACACATTAGAACAAGGCAAGTAAAGAATTGGCCATCAATTTGAAGGGTCCAGACAACACATTTTAGTTAGGTCTACAGTTTTTATTTCTTTTTACTTGTACCAAGAAATATGCAGGAGATAGTTTAGGCTGAGTTACTATCACATCCTAGTTTCAAACTCTGGTTAAGAATACTGGTGGATTTCTATCTCTATAATATTGCCTGTATAATGGCTGACCACACATATGATATGCAAGTAGTCTTAATGGGTTATCAATATTTGATAAGATTTTTTAGGTGTTGTCTCTAGGTGTGAAGCCAGTATATGTATTTTTTTATTTGATTATTATATTTTGAATTATGTACATATGGCTCAATACAAGGTCTAGAGTAATTATACTTGTGATTAAGCATCATGTATTTTGTTATGTAAAGGTATATGCAAAAAAGTGGTTTGAAGCGTTACAGGGATACATTAATATATTGGGTTTTATAAATTCTAACTTCTTAAATACAAGGTCTTGGCTCCCTTTTTTCCCAGAACTCCACACTTGTGGATATGTGCAATTTCCATTTGTACAATTTCCAATTATCAAGCCAGTTGATGAATGGGTATTCCATTTACCAATGCACCATTTTATGTTACAGTATAAATTGATACCGTGAATTTGCAGACATGTTAACAGAGGCACCATGTAAATGTCTGTTGTAGTGCAGTAATAGCTTGATGGACATTACCTGAGCAATTTAATGCTTAACGGTACTAGGTACAATCAATTTTCAATTGATGATGTTTAGACTAAGTGTTATATTGTGTATTATGTTCATGTGATTATTTATATCTCCTATGCCCCTAGGATGCATAAATGTGTAATGGCATCAATCATCAATACAAAACAAGAAAACTAATATATTCAGCATTCTTTATTTTCAGTATGTGGTTACTGGGTTGTGTGTTAAAGGGTGTGTCATGTATAGTATTTATACAATATTACGCTCTCTCTATTATTTTTGAATGAAAAATGTCACTGTAGTAGGTGTGTGTCACATGGAAAACAGGTGGATGACATATAGTTTAAGGATATTGAAAAGGGTAAATGTGTTCTGTCATTGCCTGTTATGCCATAAGTTGGGGACAGTGTATATCGTCATTTGCAGTATTAACCCAAATGTGTCACCTGTTGATAGATGTGGCCGTCATTTCATTACATACCATCACATGCCATTGAACATCAGCATTTTATCAAGCATTATGTCATTCTTACTGATAGCACTGGTGCAACTAGCTCTTGTTGTTTTCATGCTTTGAGAGCAAATTAGGATTTTTTTGCCCGTTTTTTGGGGGGATAAAATAAGATTAATCCTGACTGAAGATATTGCTTCAATTTGATGATATATATTTCTGTTATGTATTTCACAAAAATTATCTGAAAAGTGCATCACATAAGAATTATGTAATTGCAATCTTCTTCGCTTCTTTATTCAGACATTTTAACTGCACATATAATTCTCATCTCCCTTGCTTTATTAAAAGAAAATATAATATTAAATAAATGACATTCCTTTTTAGTGCTTTTTAAACAGACTTGACTTAAAGAATTGTATAATTGGAATCTTCTTTGCTTCTTTAACCAGACATTTTAACTGCACATATAATTCTCATCTCCCTTGCTTGATTTAAAGAAAATATTACATTAATTTATATAAATGAAAATCTTTTTTAGTTCTTTTTTTAAACAGACTTATTTAAAATTTACACCTTTTCTGCACATTCATTAATGTGCTATTTAATATTCCTGGGATTTTTTACCAAGATTGTAGTTCTAAATTCAAAGTCTTGGTCTTACAGCTCAGGACAGTGACTTGCCAACTGCTGTTGGTCATTCGGAAAGTGACCAGTCTGCACTGCTTGGGGACGATGCTGAGACAGGTGCTTTACATGCATGTGCACGTTTTCATATGCTCGCATGTTTTTTATACACCTGGTATTGTGGCAGAATCATTTTGTGTTGTAGAACTTAATCTTGATTGTGGTTTTTGTTTGGATTGTAACATTCAAATGGATAATGGATTCAACTGGGTTGTTGGTTTTTAAGTTTTTGTAACAAGTCTAGCAGTTGAAATTATTTGCAGTCAATGTAACAATGGCTTAAGTATCCATGTTAACCCATAAACTACCATATTTTGAACACAGTATATGTACCTCTCTACTTTAAAATGTCCTCTCCAGCCTCCCATTATTACAACCACATGGGCTTTTATTTACCACATCAACTTCTGACCTCATTTCCCAACAGGCGATTGCTATCTACCAGAATCCTGAATCTAGGACCCTGAATTTATTGATTCAGAAATGTAACCTAATGCTTTTATATTGTGCTATAGTTATAAGCTATATTTAGGATGAATTACCAAGAATTTTCAACTGAAATGTCCAAAATCAGCCTATAATGTTCCACAAAGCTAATATATATCATGATATATAGTAATTTTTAATTAAATCAACAGGAGTTCACATATACCGATAATGAAATTCACATCAAGATGACTTAAGAAGACATTTTTCAAATTGATTTTGAACATTTCAGTAAAACATTCTTGGCTGTATGCATGCTTTAAACCTTTTGCCCCCCTGCTGCATGAGACCAAATGTAAGAAATGTCCTAAGAAGATGAGCTCTCTTTCTCTAGGTTTCTACTTCAGTAAGCATGAATCTGTCTAATAATCTGATAAGTTAAAACCCCTGAAATGTTCATATATTGAAACCAAAGTTCCTTAATTCTCTACTTTTTCCATAGTTTATTATATTTACATATCCATTACTTCTGAGCATGATACTACATATTTGATAATTTCTTGTATTGCAAAACCCACATGTTAATGCATGTTGTAAACCTCTTCAGTTTGGGTTTAATTGACTTTTTTTTAAACCAACCCCAGTTACCATTCACTTCTAGCTGTCAGTGTCTTTGTTTTATCATTCAAGATGATCCTTCTTGTCAACACTTTACACTGTCAAGTTTTTCATCACATCCAACGCAATTGCCATACCTAATTATGCTGTCACACCTAACACAATATTTGCTCATTGTCACACTATCTCGCCTCAAAACTTTTGTGTCATCCTGCACAATGTAACCTCTAACACATTGCCCTAACTATTTCTTTAATGCATGTTCTTTAGTGGTAATGTAGTTCCTCATTGTGTATTGTAACTCTTTTAGGGAAAGTCAGGCAGCGTGCTGAGGAGGAATTAAAACATGATACTCTTAGATCAGCTTTAATGTCACGTATGTCTTTTTTTTAATGCACTACAAGGGATGGTGTTGTACATAGTGCCTTCATTGTTTTGTGTCAAAGTACTTCTTTTTTATGTACAGACACAGATGTGTCTGTACATATTGCCATCACCTGCGTCTGTCGTCGCCGTCGCCGTCGCCGATCATGTCGCCGTCGCTGTCGCCGTCGCCGTCGCCGTGCACTTTCAGCGTTAACACCATAAGTGGAAGACAGTTTTACTTTTTGGCTTTATATTTACAGAGCTGACTAATATTCATAAAACGCAGGTCAAGTTCGAAAATCAGCATGATCGGGCCATTATTGTAGAATTTATGCTGTTTTTTTCACTTTTTAGCATATATGCAACACTGTTAACACATTTCAAGGAAAACCGATAGGCCTGTTGTCATGAAACTCACAGGAGTAATCAGTCTTACTAAAACGCAGATCAAGTTCGAAAATCGGCATGATCGGGCCACTATTTTAGTAGTAATGCTGTTTTTTCACTTTTCAGCATATATGCAACACTGTTAACACATTTCAAGGAAAACCGATAGACCTGTTGTCATGAAACTCACAGGAGTAATCAATCTTACTAAAACGCAGGTCAAGTT